TCGGTGCATCTCTGATAACCCATAACATTTCTGTAAGATACTAAACCTCGGTGCATCTCTGATAACCCATTACATTTCTGTAAGATACTAAACCTCGGTGCATCTCTGATAACCCATAACATTTCTGTAAGATACTAAACCTCGGTGCATCTCTGATAACCCATTACATTTCTGTAAGATACTAAACCTCGGTGCATCTCTGATAACCCATAACATTTCTGTAAGATACTAAACCTCGGTTGCATCTTTGATAACCCATAACATTTCCGTAAGATAATGTCTTGTATTAGTTGTTCAAGACCTAGCAGACTCAGATACTGTACTAACTGTCTCTCAACAGTCTTGGAATTTTATTTCTTATGTAGTATTGTTTTTTTTTCATCTTGGAATCGTAGTGTCCTTTCTCCATTACCACTTTTATATAATAGTAAGATTATGGTTTCATTATTGTTTTTGAGGCTTGTGTGAGTTGTTTTTATATACTAAACTTTATATAAGAGATTTGTTTCTAACTAGATGGTTCATAATTTTGGCTGGAGCTAAGGTTACCCATTTTATAAGTTTTTCAATGAAATTCCATTTCAATAGAAGAAATAATATCAGTTGTGAGAAAATGTTTTGATTAAAGTGAAAAATTTAAGCATTTTTCTTCCAAAAGCTTGTTCATTCTTGGTGACTTAGTAGTAAATCATATAAAGCAGTCATTTATTTTTGACACCATTTAGCATGGTAGGTAATCTTTCATACTACGATTTTTTGTTTTCTTTATCTGATAAGAGTCTACTGTTTTGATCTCTTAGGGACAGTCTGTTACTGTTAAGCTCCTTTTGTGCTAAGATGCTGTATAGTTTTGTGAAAGTGTGTTAATATTAAAATTAAATTGACACTTGTGTAAAATTTTAAACACCACACACACACAGTCTCATGCACTTTCCATGTTTCAACATATTACTTCATCATCATCATTATCTGGGCACAGTTTCATTTTAGATATTTATTCTGTACTTTAAACAACTATAGTGTTTATTGTGTTAATATGTTTATTAACATCTTATAAACTTGCCTCTATGTCTAAGTCTTCCTCTTCAAAAGTAACCAGCTGACATGAAGAAGAATGAGGTTAATTATATGTGGTCATTAAACATCTGTAGTGGATTAACTAATGTTCTCGTTCCTGCCATTCATATTATAGTTTTGGAAATATCAGAATAAAAACTTATTGTGTTTTTTTAGTTTTCACATTGTAAATGTCTTACCTACAGTTAAGATAACCCAAACCACACAGATCTAGTTATAAAACATACATCAGCACTCTGTATCTCTACTCTTGTTTTAAGAACTTTAACAAGCTGCTGTAACTCTCTAAAGATTTTTCAAACTTATGTGCTAGACAATAGATGTGTGTACTAGATTCGTAGTTCACTTTATGGTCTTCCATAAATAATGCGTTCTAGTCTTACAAGCTTTTTCTAAATTTCTAGCAACTAAATATTTCTGTGCATTGGTATTAAGAACTCTCTTGAGAGTCCTTTAGTAGGCCAATATATCTGTACAATGTTTTCAAGGTTTTACTGTGTAACTATACCTGTATACTACTAATTTAAGGAACTTTCTTCCTTGTTTTTATCAAGCTAATATACAGAGTATCCATGGATGTGTATTATGTTTATAAATTTTCTTAAAGACCCTTTAATAGGTCACTTTATTTATGTTGTACTAGTTCTAAAGTACTTTTGTCAAGGCCCTTTAATATGTCATTGTATTTATGTTGTACTAGTTCTAAAGTACTTTTGTCAAGGCCCTTTAATATGTCATTGTGTTTATTTTGTACTAGTTCTAAAGAACTTTTGTCAAGGCCCTTTACTGTGTCATTGTGTTTATGTTGTACTAGTTCTAAAGAACTTTTGTCAAGGCCCTTTACTATGTCACTGTGTTTATGGTGTACTAGTTCTAATGAACTTTTCTCAAGGCTCTTTAATATGTCATTGTATTTATGTTGTACTAGTTCTAAAGTACTTTAGTCAAGGACCTTTAATATGTCACTGTGTTTATGTTGTACTAGTTCTAAAGTACTTTTGTCAAGGCCCTTTAATATGTCATTGTGTTTATGTTGTACTAGTTCTAAAGAACTTTTGTCAAGGCCCTTTACTGCATCACTGTGTTTATTTTGTACCAGTTTTAAAGAACTTTTGTCAAGGCCCTTTACTATGTCACTGTGTTTATGTTGTACTAGTTCTAAAGAACTTTTGTCAAGGCCCTTTACTGTGTCACTGTGTTTATTTTGTACTCGTTCTAAAGAACTTTTGTGAAGGCCCTTTACTGTGTCACTGTGTTTATTTTGTACTAGTTCTAAAGAACTTTTGTCAAGGCCCTTTAATATGTCATTGGGTTTATGTTGTACTAGTTTTAAAGAACTTTTGTCAAGGCCCTTTACTGTGTCACTGTGTTTATTTTATACTAGTTCTAAAGAACTTTTGTCAAGGCCCTTTAATATGTCATTGTGTTTGTATACTAGTAATAACAGCTTTCCTTAATCCTTTAACATGCCACTGTATCTGTAAAATAGTATAAGAGCTTTTTTTTCTGGTTTCATTCAGCAAACCACTTTATGAGTGTGATAGTTTTTGAGCCTTCTTCAGAATTAATTAAAATATTTTATACCCATGTTTAGTAATACATTAAAGATGTGTTTCCATTTAAACAATATTTTCTCAGTTACAATAATCATTTATCTATTATAACTGTAGGCTATCTACAAGATGGTTGGGTCAGTGATGAAGATGCCAGAAGATGAATCAACACCAGAGAAGCGAACAGATAAAATATTTAAGCAGATGGATAAAAATATGGATGGAAAATTGTCCATAGAAGAATTTATAGAAGGAGCGAAAAGTGACCCATCTATTGTTAGGCTTTTACAGTGTGATCCACAGTCCTCTCACTGACTAAATGCTACAAAATGATTTAGCAATGGAGCTTTCTTTGTAGAGGAACCTTGGTTGTAAGACATTAATATGCAGTGTTTGAAGCAAGAATTCCTTCTTCGTTTTTGTGTAAAAAGTTTATTGCAGCAGGAATTCTTTTTCAACCAGTTTTGAGATAACCAAGACAAACAACTGATTGGTTTCCCTTCTACCCCTCTGTCAATTAATATAAATTTACTGAGATGATTGTGAGATAACCAAGGCAAACAATTGCTTGGTTCCCCTATGTCAGTTGATATACATTTACTGAGATGATTGTGAGATAATCAAGACAAACAACTGCTTGGTTTCCCCTGTGTCAATTG